AATGTGCCCTCCTGCTGATTAATTTTGCCCTGGATCTTCTGGTCGATGATGAGGAAGCCCAAGATATCGCTCACCTCCGACTCGGAGATCCGAAGCTGCTTGCCGATCCATGCCAGCTTCATACGGGTGTACGGCGCGATCAGCTTGACGATACCTTTGGTGCGCATATTGCGTGTAACCTCATCAATATTCTCGGCGATGAAGGGGTCATCGAGAAGATCACGGTTCAGCTCTAGGACCTTCTGGTAGGCGTGGACATCGTCGCGCTGGTAAGCATCCACGAGGTCAGTCATGGCCGTGATGCGAGGATCCGTCTTGTAGGGTTTCGTCTCCTGGGAATCAAAGGGGTTGATGGTGGACTTGGTGAGCATGGTCGTAAGGAGAAGATATTTCAGAACCTGAATGCGCTGAAGGGAGCCGGCCTCGTCATAGTTCCGGAAGGATTCGTGAAAGTCTGACTGCGCTTCAACCCAGTTCTCCTCGCTCATGTGCATCTTTCCACCGCACTCACGGATGATGCCCATGATCTTGGGGTGGGGCACCGCCGATTTGACCTCCAGGGCGCGGACGTAGAGTCTCTTGAGTTGCTTGTTGTTCTTCATCTCGGCGTACATTTGAATCTCGAGGACGTAAATCTCGAGCGAGTAGGTGCCCTTGCTGGGATCGTCGGTGCCGTCCTCCCGCTGACACGTCTTGTGCAGCTCGCGGACCTTCTTCGCGAGAGCCTGGTAGTCCTTGCGGTCGAGCAGGAGCTTGGCGAGCTTGATATTGGTCTTGAGCCATAACCTCTCGTTGTTGGTGCTCTGGAAGCTCTGAAGCGTCAGGGAGTAGAATTGCTCGACGCACTTGCCGGATTCAGTCGAGTCCGAGCCCTTCTCGACAAAATCAAGCAAATTATTGATGGATTTCTCAGAGTAATTCCTCGTGACGGCATTCTTGACATATGTGAGGAGTTCCGCGTAGTGCTCGGCAGCCTGCGAGTGGAGTGAGTGTACGGTCAGCGAGGGTCGACGAGCGAGAAGCGACGGCGAGGAAGGCGCACATCGTTGTATTTTCCGAGCCTGAACTCAAGCTTGATGGCTTGCTTCAGGCCCTTGAATCCCCATTCTCCCTTTTCGTCTTCCAGGGCGGGAATGCCTAGAAATTCTGCGATTGCCTCTTCTGGCTCGGCGACCTTCTGTTGCTTTGCGTTGTAGTATTTGTTCTCAATGTCGACGTCGCCGGTCTCCTCGTCGTCATCCTCCTCGTACTCGAAGTCATATCTGGGCTGCCAGTCAGCAGGACGATTCAGTGCGTTCCCTGATGGCAAGGCGAGCCTCACTGCTCGTCATCCGACTCCTGCATGAAGTCGTCGTCGGACATGATGGCGAGATTCGGAGGGGTAGCTTCTCCACCAAGAGTGGAACGAGAACCGCGTTCGAAGAAGGGGCTCGACTTGGTAAAGGGCCCTTGATGATTGATGAGCAAGAGAGATGTGGCCTTGTACCAAAGCCGTTTCGATAATCAGGGAGCTACGTTCAGAGTCCGATGATCGAGCTCGTAGTCGTTCAGATGATGCGCGCGTAGGCAATGTAGGTAGATGCGGTACGTTTCCCAGTGCGTGCCTGTGCTGCACTGAAGGTCACTGAACGGCGCAAAGGCGGGGAGCTTTATTAGCTTATCGATTGGCTGCCAGGCAGTCGATCCAAGATCCTGGCAAGCCTGGGGCGACAATAGTACGATGACTCAGCATAGGAGAGTGGGTCATCCTGGGGGAACAGCAGAAGGCTGGCTGGATGGCAACTTTTACGGTGCCTGTCCAACGTACATCGACATTCATCTGACTATTTTGCAGACACCGCCACCAGGAGCACGCTCTGCCGAAACACTACGCGCATTGAATCGAAACTCAGCAACTCATCATGGGCGGCGATCTCAACCTCAAGAAGAGTTTCCACCCGGGCCTCCTCAAGAACCAGGCCAAAGTCTGGGAGGAGGAGAAGAAGGCCCTCGACGAGCGCAAGAAGACGCAGCAGCGCATCAACGAGCTGAAGGAGGAGCGCGCGCGCGAAGAGATTCAGAAGCAGCTCGAGGCCGCCGGCCACACCAAGAAGATCGACCGCGTCGACTTTCTCTACAATGGACCGACAAACGGCCAGACGGGCACGACGGAGGAGATGGAGGGCTACCTGCTTGGCAAGCGGCGCATCGACAATCTGATTACGGGTTCCGACCACAAGAAGCTGGAGAAGCAGGCTGGGCAAGAGAGCTTCATGGCGCTGCAGACGGCCAACACGGCGCGCGACACGGCGGCCAAGGTGCGCGAAGATCCGATGCTCGCCATCAAGAAGCAAGAGCAGGCAGCATATGAGGCCATGATGAATGATCCGATCCGGCGGCGGCAGTTACTGGCCAATATGGGTCTGTCAGAGGAGACCAAGGACCGGTCCAAACGCCGAGAGGACAAACACAGAAAGAGGCGGCACCGTCATCGGGATGAGAATTCGGACGATGAGAGGCGACACAGGCACCGGAGGCGAGCACATTCACGATCGCGGAGCCCGTCACGGCACCGCAGGGACGGTTCGGACGACGGGAACGACAGGCGCAGGAGCAGCCGCCGAGATTCACCAAAACGCAGGCGGCATGACTCGGAAGAAGACGTTGACCGTCGGCGAGAGAGAAGATCGAGGTCGCCTCGCCGACGTGAGCGCGAGGATCGAGACAGTCACCACGAGCGCGGCGGCAGGCGGGACGACCGGTGGAGGGATGGGGATCGTCGTGACAGCCGACGCGACGAGCGACATGACACGCAAGATGTTCGTGGACGTGACGGCGACCGCGAACGGAACTACGACAGACCAAGACGCCATTCAGACAGGTCGCCGCAGGACCAGCATCGTCGCCATTTTGACGGAGGCAGGCGGAACGGAGGTTCTGCGCAAGGCGGCGGCGGCGGCGCAAAAGATAACAAAGCCGACGAGGAGGAGAAGGCGCGTAAGCTGGCGGCAATGCAGTCGGCGGCGTCGGAGCTCGACTCGTCACGGGAACAGAGGTTGGCAACGCTCGCGCAGCAGGAGAAGGCGGCGCGCGACGCCGACGATGAGGCGCGGCAACGTGCGTCGAAGCACGGAGGCGAGAATGAGTTTTCGAACCGGCTACATCGCAAGGCGGGGGATTTGGGCTTGGCGGAGCGGATGGGCCGGGGTCGGCAGGGTTACCAGCGGGATGACGACTGAAGGCGATCGGAAGGCAGTCTTGCCCAGTTTCTTTTCTGAGGCTGTAGAATGTAGAAACGGCCCCGTCGGCAGTAGCGGGGTCAAATACGACGCCAATCGCCAGACGATCCACACCATGCCTTGTTTCTTTTCACGAACGAGCAGTACTGATGTGACATGTATACTGCAGAAGTAGAAGACTCGGATTTCTCGAGCAGACATGATTAGTCAAGATCTTGACGGCTTGACCTGTCACCAATAGTGCGTCACTCGGCTGATGGGCTTGGATATAGCGGGAGCAAAAGAAAGCGTCTTGGGGACGGGCTGGCTGGGATCCATTCCCATAGCTCCACTTCAGGCAGGTTGCACGTCAAATCCTACAGCATTCCTCCTGCGATGTTGGCGGATGACTTGCAGGCGCGATAGCTAAATACAGCATACCTACCCTACCTACCTTGGCCTTGGTACGTGTATGTGTGCAGTACATGCCTGCGTGCCCACATGCCTGATGGGAAATACAGTGCAAGGGTGTCTTGAGCGGCAGGTCACAGAAGGGAGTTGCTGCTCGGCGGGCGCCATCTGGTCGTCCGAAACAAGACATGGAGATTCTAGCGGCCTGTCCATGAGCCGATCGGCGAATATCAAGGTGGTGGTGCCAGAGCGTGGCCCTGAGCGCGATCCAGAGCCCGTGGGTGCCCACGGGCTGTGCCTTGGCCGAATCGATAGCGCCTCTCAGTTGCCCCTCAACCCCTCTGATGAATGGCCTCCCAGGCGGCGCGTCCAGTGGACTGGTGCAGTGGGCTGGTGCAGTGAACTAGCGGGCCTATCAACGCTACTGCCGCTGTCGATGGGGGGCGGTACCCACCATGTGGAGAGGGGGCTTGGGGGGAAACAGTGAGCATGCCCATTCTTGCCATTACCTAGGCAGGTACCTACCTGGGTAGGTACGGTAGACAGGCAGTAAAAGTGTCTGAGGAAGTACCCAGGTACCGTTCATGCCTAGCGCATCTCGGCCAATTGCCAATTTCCCTGGTCGCGCTGGGGTGACGGGGACTTCCCTGCCCTGTTCGTTCTTCGCCTCGCCTATGCCACTGCCACTTGAAGTCGCTTCCAGCCACTGCCTGCTGATGATCTGAGCCCCCTCCACTCGTCACCTCCATCCAGCCTGTGCGTGCTCTATCCAATCTCTCTCTTCTCGAGTCCCAAACTCTACGTGCTGCCCACCCTCAGTCTCCCGGCTGGATCAATCTCACCCTCTTTTGCAACTTTTTCCCTAACGCGAACACGATTATCACACCCGACAACACCGAGCCTCTTGCTTCCTGCCGGCCCCTCCTCCGTTGACAGGGTCCACAGACGCCCGCTCCCTACACAAGAGCCCGCGCGCGCAGTCGAGGATCCACCTTTTAAGATCCAACTCCTGAACCCAGACAGACACCGTCGAAGACTCGTGCCAACAACAAACGAGGCGACCAATCTACGCTCTCGCACGAGCAATCAACAAGTTCCTCTCTCCCTCTTCCTCCGCCCAAAATCATTGTTCTCTGGGAAGCCGACCTCTGCGACGACTGTGCCCCCTGACGTTTCCGACTCGACCTCCCCCCCCCCTTCCCAACATCGCCCACGATGCCTGCGCTCTGTGGAGGCTCCAAGACCGCCAACCGGAAGCTGGTGCTGCTGTAAGACTCCCTGCAGCCGAGCGCCTGCACGCTGGCTCAAGAGAACGAACTGTTTTTTGGCTGACCAAAGTCTCGTTTCTTCCATGCAGAGGTGACGGCGCGTGCGGAAAGACGTCATTACTTAATGTCTTCACAAGAGGGTATGTGGGCAAACCAAACCCGACTCGTCTTCACGATGCCACGAGCCATGCTCTAACAGCCTGATCAGATACTTCCCTACCGTCTACGAACCCACAGTCTTCGAGAACTATGTCCATGGTATGCGCGCCACCGGTGCTCTGCCCTGTTCTGCTGAGGAGGTCCCTAGTATCTGACATGTTGCACAGACATCTTTGTCGATAACGTCCACATTGAGCTGTCCTTGTGGGACACCGCCGGCCAAGAAGAATTCGACCGTCTCCGCAGTCTATCCTATGGTGAGCTCTCAATTCTCACGACGCAACGTGACTGTCACATGCTAACAAGCTCGCCTTCCAGACGACACGGATCTGATCGTACTCTGCTACAGCGTCGACAGCAAGGACTCGCTCGAAAACGTCGAAAGCAAATGGGTCGGCGAGATCGCGGATAACTGTCCCGGTGTCAAGCTTGTTCTTGTGGCGCTCAAGTGCGACCTGCGCGAGGGCAACGATGACGATAACGTCGGCGCCGATGGCCAGCCGCAGGCGCCGCAACCCGGCGAGAAGCGCAACCCCACCCTGATCAACTACGACCAGGGCCTCGAGGTCGCCCGTCGTATCCAGGCATCTCGTTACCTCGAATGCTCGGCCATGAAGAACCGTGGCGTCAATGAGGCATTCACCGAGGCCGCGCGTGTCGCCCTCAGCGTCAAGAAGGAGCGCGACGAGTCCAAGTGCATCGTCATGTGAGCCAGCTGGGCTTCATGTCAATGACCGACACCTAACTCTCTCTTACCATAATTGCTTGTCTACTCCAGGGGGCGTCGGCGTTTACGCGAATCGGATCCGGATACGGCCCCTTGTCTCTCTGCTTTTGCTCTTTCACCACAGCCACGCTTTTCTTCTTTCTACAATACACCCACGAGCGGAGCCCGGGATCGCCTACCACGACCACCCTTTTCTTTGACCCTCCCGCTCACGCGAGCCACTTCATCTTATTACTCCCGTTACTTGTGGCTGGATCGCGCCTTCCCCTTGCCCACGATTCACCAGACTTTGAAACTGTATATACCAGAGTATTCTACTCGCTTTGGCTTGGTTCGCTACACTGTTTCCCGTCTTTTATCATGTCCAGTGTGTCTCTTCATATATAACGGCGGTGATCGGGAAAAGGACGTGTAGACTTTTCCTTGCGGAGAGCGGTTCGTCTTGTTGGACCATGCAGTGTTCTGTATTGCAGGTGTTGGTACCATGTTCCAGACTGACGTCAACCCAAAGAATTCGAATGCTGCAGCGTGCGTTCCGTGATTGTCGCTTGATGGCGAGTAAGTGAGCCTGTTGCTCCAGACTAGAAGCTTCACTTCGACTCGAGCTGTAGAAGGAGCGGCTGAACAGTAGGGGCAAGGGGATATGCATGTCCGCTCAGCTGCGATTGAGTGGCTGTCGCTCTGTGACCCCTGAAGAGTCAATAGGGTGCCTTGACTGTCGGCTCGTGGCTTGGTTGTCTTTCTTCCCGGGTGCCTGGGCAGGATATTGAACAGGAATTCTGGAATCCAACTTCTCGTGAGCTTTGTTGTCTTGCGTTGAACATCATACTGGTGTTCGCACCATCAGTGCCGTGGCACCTGGTCGAGTGCCGCTGTAACACCCCTGGTCTACCCCGGATTCGCCGAGACAGGACACGCAGGTGCCCTCTTCGGTGGTGGCCATTGTGGCTGGCGGCTTTCTCCTTGCAGACTGGCTGGTTTCCCCCTGTGCGTCTACGGCAAGGGGTTTGGTATATGCGACGAGTCATGGACTCGGAGCCTACAGTCACGCTGGGGAAACTGTCCCTCGGAAGAGATGACTGACCGAGCGTGCCTCGAGCGTGTCGGTGAGGACTGCAGCCCGCTGGCCTGTCGAGAGAGCTGGATGCCTTCCGCTCTCCAAGCCGTCCCATTGCGTCTGCTTCCTCGAAAAGGGCCCCCTCGTAGCGTGAAACGCCCTTCCTGGTCGTCTGCCTTCTCAGCAGCATCGCCGCCGGGCCGCTTCGAGACCATACATCCATCCACCTCTTCCGTTCATGCTTCAAACCGCGTCGACTTTGCAGGACCGTCGGCGGCGCATGTCGTCCCAGCCGCCAGGCACGCAGCGAGGTTCCCCTTTCTGAAACAGTAGCTCACAAGGAAGCACAGCACAGCACAGCACAGGACACATGTGAAGGCTTCCACCGAGTCGACAAGCAAGGCGAGCAGGCTCTTGGGGGGGTTGCTGCGGAACGCCTGCCCGGCATGCCACACGCCCCCTCGACCGCATCCTCGAGCGCAAAAGGCTAGCCCAGCGGCCCTCTCTCCCCGGTCCAGCCTCCAGCAATCCAGCGGCGGCAGGCCAGGCGGCGGGATACCGCCGTGCAGCACGACTGCATGTCTGTGTGTGTCGTTCCCGCGTGGACCGGTATTCCGACGACGCCTGTCACTGTCCTATCCCCCCCCCCCCCAAAGGTACCCTGGCCCTCCGTTTCCTTCTTCCAAAACCCCCCTCTCGCGACAGGGACGGGTGAGGGGTCACGGCAGCGCGGGCATGCTGTGCGCTGGGAAGGGTGAAAGGGGAGAGGGGGGTGAGCGGGGGTTGCACTAGTCGGGTATGCAGGCGCAAGGCATGATGGAGGAGGGAAGAGGAGAGGGGGAGCTGACGGGGAGTTTCCTTCTTTTGGGGTTAAAACACGGTATGCCGGCCGGAGGGTAGGTTGGACGTACAAGTAGTGCAAGGTAGCATTCGGAGCGGTCAGAAGGGGGCTGACGACCAATGGAGCGTCTTCAAATCCGCCAGGGGCACGATGAGGAGGAGGTTTTTTTCGGAGGCCCGGAGGTTTTTTTTGCTTTTTTCTTTTCGTTGTTTATTCTCCTTGTCGTGCAGATGGATGTCTTGGGTGGATGCTGTGTTGTTACGGTACTTTGGGGGAGGCGGCTTGGCTGTGGTTTTTCGCGACCCCAAGTGAGGCCGGTGAGTGAGACGGAAAGAATCGAAGCTGCGAATTTCCTCTGCCTTGCATTAGGCAGGCAATGTTCTGATCTGACCTTAGGTGCCTTATCATAAGGCGGGTTAGGTTCGTCAGATGGGACCAGTCCACCGAACGTATTCTATTGAAGGTTTTAACGGGGTTACGGCTGTATGCCCAGCAATGCCCCAAGCCAGCCAGCCAGCCAGCCAGGCAGACAGACAGAAGACCGGTTACCCGAAAACAGTTCGTTGTCCTGACCAGGCGATCCGGATGTTGCCGCTGCTGTCGAGTGAGCAGTGGACTGACAACGAAACTCAATCGCGCACGCTCCACCATGTGAACTTCTCCCAGGTCGAAAGCCCGCACGATCAGACGCTTACTGCACAGCATTCAGTTGAATAGATTGCCCTCGAAAAGTCAAAGTTAAATCCGACAGCACTCGACAACCAAAGCACGAGACACGGTAGTCACCTCGTGTGAACACACAGTGCATCAAGTCGTGATTCGCATTCATTACGTCTCCTCGAGACATTCCCCAGGAGACCTTTCTATACTACTGCTGTTACTACATGATCCCCGCTCACCTGCTCACGCGGTAGGGGTAGGCAGGCAGTGGCACGCCGAGCTGACGCGCGAGATGACGTTGGTGCCGCACGCCTTGGAGGCGTACTCGGGCACGACCTTGACGTCGCTGACGTATGTCTTCGTGAAATCGCCGCAGAACTTCTGGCTCTCCTCGAGGCGGCCCTTGATGCTGGACGAGCGCAGCGCACGCAGGCAGTTGTCGGCGTTGCACGACTTCTTCTTGGGGCACGACGCGCGCTTGGTCATCTTGACGAGGTAGACGCCGCGCTCGATCGTGTTGACAATGGCGTAGCCGCTTCCGTCGAACTGGTAGCTCGACCACGAGCCGAACATCTCGACGCTGCCGCCGCCGGGCTGGTTGTCATCCTCGGGGAAGATGTCAAAGTATGCGATCTGAGAAGGGGGCAAGTTGGGTCAGCTCGGCAATCACCCGAGAGAGAATGGAAAAGGAAACAAACTCACCTCGCAGACACCGGCACCGGTGGGGTCCTCGGGAATGGAGGAAACATCGTAGACGCGGAAACCGGCACCGTAGCTGGACTGGAAGCTGAGACCGTTCTTGATGTACTGGTTGTGGTCGGTGGCAACGACAGTGCCTGTTTCCCATGGTCAGTCAGCGACGCTGCGTACAACATCGACGAAAGGAAGAAGAAAAAAAGCGAGCAAACTCACCCTTGTAGATGCCGGTGTTCTTGGGAGCCTCGAGCGACCTGATGTCCCAGATGTAGGTCACGGGGTAGCCGTCAGAGGCAGGGTTGAGGCCGTCGGTCTCATCGTACTCGTCGTCCATCAGGAGGTACTCCTGCCAGTTGACGTCGAGGACCCAGCCCTGGTGGGTGTAGGAAGCACCCTCATACGAGGTGACGGAGAGAATCTTGGAGTTGGCCTTGTCTGTCACGTCGTAGATGGTGAGCGTGTCCTCGTTGTAGCCGTAGCAGATCTGGTGACCCTCGTACTTGGTGTCGGGGCCGTGGTACGTGAGGCACTGCGCGTCATGGACGTAGCCATCCTGTCCGTTGCAGCCGAGCCTCTTGGGGTTGGAGGGGTCCTTGAGGTCGACGAAGATGAGACCGGACTTGCAGACGTCGGTCCTGGGGCGGGCACCGACGGCGGCGAAGTACTCGTTCTCCTCGTCCACGACGATGTTGTGCGTCTGGCCGTTGGGCAGGTCCTTCCAATGGGCCGTGACGTCCTTGACAATGTCGAAGACGACAGGGCCGGCCGAGGCGTTGACGGTGAGCAGCTTGCTCATGTCGAAGATCTGAACGCCGTGGCCGGGGAGCTCAGAGCCGATGATCATGTAGTTCTTGAAACCACGGATCTCCTTCCACAGCGCGTTGGGGTTGGTCTTGGCCGGCACGGGCAGGAAGCCGAGCTGGGCCAGCCTTCCCTCCTTGAGGATCTCGACGAAGGCAGTGCCGTCGAACATGCCAATGGCGGCAAACTCACGGCCCGTCTTGGGGTCGGTCCAACCCCACGAACCGCTGCCGGTCAGGAGGTTGCCGTCACCGAGCTCGTCCCAGCCGTTGGGGGAGCCGAGAGTGGCGAAGTTGATAAAGTCGTACAGGTCAATGTTCTTGCAGCGGAACGTAAGAAGCTCGTTGCCAGGCACAGCGGCGGCCTTGCCGTCGATGCACTTGGTGTAGTTGAGCCTGGGCCAGACCTCCGAGTTGAGGAGGCCGGCGTCAAACTCACCCATCCAAGCATCCATCTTGTGCTTCATGTTCCTCTCGTGGATATAACCAGAGTCGTAGAGCTCTGCAGAAAGACCGTTAGCCGTGTTCCTGGGCGCAAATGCTGGGCGCGCCATCGCGACAGGACGTACCGGCACCCTTGACCAGATCCTTGGCCAATTCCTTAGCCATGACGCCCGAGGCGGCGGCGAGCGCCGTGCCCGAGAGAGTAGAGAAGCGCATCTTGACAGTGACGTGCGTCGACCTCTGTTCGTTTTGTGATTGAGGGGAAACGAAGAGGAACAGAGAGCCGAGTGTTTGACTTGTATCACCGGGGTGAGCGGGCACACAAGGTTGAGTGAGGAGCAAGAGGAATGTCCTTGATCCATCCCGGGAGGAGCTCGTGAGTGGGCATGCCGCAATGCTTTATGCTTGCTCTCACTCTCCCGCATTCCCCTGTCCGACGGCTACCGCCAGGGAGAAGTCGCTCGCCGTTCCTCGGGTCAGTGATCAGCCCTCGCGCGAGGCGAATCTAACCCTGGCTCATTCGACGTGCAACCAAGAACTGCAAATGCACCCCAGGTGCCCTCAACCAGATAACACTGAGCTTCCACTTACAGTACCGCGCTAAGGCGCGGTCATGGCCGCGATCCAGGAGTGATCTCCTGCCTCTTTAGGCAGGTCTGAACCGAGCGGCGCTGACCCGACCAATTGACATGCCCATAATCAGCCGTCAGGGCCTTGCACATGGAAATACGACTGGGACCGTATGGAGACCTCATGCAACGTCTGCCAGGGTCAGGCACATTGCCCTTGGCGAACAGGCTGATGGGTCATTTGGGCCACTTGGGCCCCTCTTGTTGCCGTCGCGTTGCCCAATCGACAACTTCAATCGACATGTTGGCTGCTGGTGGAGGCTGGTCTTGGCAAACGTCAATCCGGCATCGGCCTACCGACACCCAGCTTGAATAGGAAGGCCAACGGTGATGGATCCAAAGCCCCCTCAGTTCTGGAATCGCCTCTGTCTTCTTTTATTCATCGCCTTGACCAACAAGTTTGCCACGAGGCGATGTTCTACCACCGATCCGGATGGCCCGAGCTGCAGGCCATGCAGGCAGCTAAAGCATGGAAGGCAATCAGTTCTGTTTCCATACCGGCTTCCCCGCCGTCGACGAACTTTCCATCAGTCGAACACCCTTGCTGCGCCAATGGGTGCGACCTGGGCAATGGACCATCAAGGTCAACCTCCAACTAGGCAGTCCGAGCAGGAGAAACCTGGAATGTCGATCCTCCAGAGGTGAACGTGACAATCAACACAGGTGTGAACAACGAGAATGTGTATTCTTGATCCAGATATCCAAAACGCCATCCATGACCATGAACCCAATCGTCACATGTGCTATTCAAATCATGACGCTTCGTTGGCGGCGGCCTCTTCCTCAAACAGCACAAGCACCGTGCCAGCTTTGCAAATGTCCTAGTTTGCATCAGTAAACAATTTCCACCAAGCCGATACGGATTTCCACTTACCCCCTCCTTGTGTGCCAGTTTCTTCACCACGCCATCCTGAGGTGACCTGATGACGGTCTCCATCTTCATCGACTCAATACTGTCGGGTGTTAGCGAACTCTCCAGCGATACTTCAAGAGAAAGAGCTGAACTCACACAACCAATGGCGCACCCTTCTTAACGACCTCGTCCTCAGCGACCTCGTTTCTCAGAACCTTGCACGGCATCGGCGCAACAACAGAGGCAGCAATCTCCTTGAGGCCCAGCGCCTTCTCGAACCATTTGGGCGGCAGCAGCGCTAGCTCTGTCCTCACACCGTGCTGGAACACGACAACCTTGGAGTCCTGAGTCTCGGTTGCGTTTGGTGTCGTCCTGACTACTGTGGAGTGTATCCTCTCGCCGGGGAAGAAGGTTGTCAGCTTGGTTGCCAGGGATTTCGGTGTCGATGAAGTGCATGCAATCTTCTCGATCACCTCTGGCTCGGCGCCCTTCCTCGTCACAGTGGCGCTGAACATGCCGGGACTTGTCTGGCTGACTGTGACCTGCACAACCTCGCCATCCTGCTTTGAGTATGCGTCTAGCACCTTGAGCGCGAAACTGCGCTCTGTCGCCGTGTTTGGCGCGCCGAACCCGAGACTGCCGCCGTGGGGCGCCTCGCTCGCGAGCTGCGCCGTCAACGAGCCCAGAGCTGCCTGCACAAAGACCTCGTCGGTGATCACTCGAGGCGCAAAGAGCTCATCCTTCCACTTCTCGATGAAACCTGTTTCCACATCACCCTCGATGAACGCCGGCGAGCGGCACATGCGCTTGAGGAACTCGATGTTCGTGCTCAGACCGACCACTTCATAATCGCGAAGTGCAAGCTCCAGGCGACGGATAGCCGTCTCACGGTCGCGGCCGCGCACAATCAACTTGGCAATCATGCCGTCGTAGGCTTCGGAGACGGTGTCGCCCTGGACGAAACCGGCATCAATACGGACGTCGGGATCGGTGGCAGGAGTGGTAAGGTGAACAAGCTTGCCAGAGTCAGGCATGAAGCCCTTTTCAGGACTCTCGGCATAAATACGCGCCTCAATGGCAGCGCCCCGCTGAGAAATGGCTTCAGAAATCTCCTCTTGTGTCATGGGGAGCTTCTCGCCAGCCGCAATGTTCAGCTGCCATTCAACAAGATCGGTACCAGTGACCATCTCGCTGACGGGATGCTCAACTTGCAGACGGGTGTTCATCTCCATGAAGTAGAACTCGCCAGTGTCGCGGTCCAGAATAAACTCCACGGTACCAGCGCCGACGTAATCAACGGCGGAGGCAGCCTTCCGCGCCTTATCCCAGAGATCGAGTCTCGTGGCTTCGTCTAGGCAAGGTGCGGGCGACTCTTCGAGAATCTTCTGGTGACGACGCTGCACACTGCAGTCACGCTCACCGAGTGCCACACAGTTCCCGTGCTTGTCGGCGAAGACCTGGACCTCGACGTGACGCGGACGCACGATGTACTTCTCCACAAGCATGACCTCGCCGCCGTCGCCAAACGATGCCTTAGCCTCGAGCCTGGCGCTGCGTAGCTGGGCGGGAAACTCGTCTTCGGTCAAGACGATGCGCATGCCCTTGCCACCACCGCCCTTGACGCTCTTCAGTAGCACAGGGAAGCGGACCTCGCGAGCGTGCTGCAGCAGCTGTGCCTCCTCTTGATCCGCGCCGTGGTACCCCGGAACACAGGGAACACCGGCAGCGGTCATGATCTCCTTGCTGCGAGCCTTGTCGCCCATGTCGTGCATGGCTTTGGCGGGCGGGCCAACGAAGACGATGCCCTCCTTCTCGCAGCGAGAGGCAAAAGCGGGGTTCTCGGAAAGGAAGCCGTAGCCAGGGTGGAGTGCCTGAATGCCGTGCTGCTTCGCAAGAGAGATTATGCGATCGCCGTCGAGGTAGGCCTTGGGGTTGCCGAGTGAGAGGGAGTGTGGTGAGCAGGCGGCATGCTGGGAGGAGGCGTCTGGATCTGTGTAGAGGGTTGTTGTACGGATTCCGAGCCTGTCGGCAGTCTTGTGGATCCTGAGAGCAATCTCACCACGATTGGCAATGAGGAGCGATGTGATGGGAGTGATTTGAGGAGCTGCCGACGCCGAGACCCCCGTTGCAGCCGTGGACAAGAGGCGAGGGAGGGGGCGGGCGAGCCGATGCTTTGCCTTCATGGAACGCATGTTGATAGTGCAGAACGTGTCAAGGAGGAAGTCTCTATGTCCTGGACAGCAATTGACCGGTGTCTCCTCGAGATGGTAGAGTGGGAAGACAGAAACAGAAAAAGGATTCGATCGCCCAGCACAAAAGACAGAGGAAAGAAGATCCCGAGGTGTTGTAGAGGTTGCCATCCGGGGAAGGTGCCTTGCCGCTGATAGCCGGTGGTGCCCGCCTGCCGGAGCCAGCCGCTGGTTGTTTCTTGCCGTGCTTGTTCTCCTCCCAAACGGCACAAGCAGTGGCAGGTGGCATGGCCCGTGCCTACTTTCCCCCTCATTAACATTCTGACCCCACAGGCGTCGGTACGTGTCCGGACTTTGCGTCATTCGTTCTGGGGACAGGAGATGCCCCTCCTTAGTCAGCAGCACTTCGCGGCAGCACGCAGACGGCGATTCCCTCCACCACGGATCATCATGGCACCTGGACGTTAGCTGTAAGCGCCAATCACGCGAACTTGAGCTGTGCCTTACGCTGTAGCACTGCGATCCATTTAAAGCACCTTGAAATCTATCTGAGTCCCGATACAAGGCTTGATCAACTCCTTATACTGCCACTCCTCGACACGAGACCCCCCGCAATGGAAACAGCACCCCTCAACTACGAGGCTTCGGCCGGCGATACCAACAAGCAGTACACAGCAACCCTGCCACAGGACGTGGTCCAGTGTCTCGAGAACGCCCGTTTTGTTCGTTCCCGTCCCTGAGCCTCAGCCTCGGCCAAGACTGACCAAGACGCATGCGCGCGCTGCAGCTCCACTTGGCAACTTGCACAGACGACGTGCCTAATGTTTCGCTCATGAACTACACCTACCTGCCCTCGTCGCCCTTCTCCGCGGCGCCCGTCATCGCCATGACGACGAACCCGGCCTCGCGCAAGACGACGAACCTCCTCTCGAACCCCAACGTCTCCCTACTCGTCCACGACTGGGTCTCCCACCGCCCGCCGACGTCGGCCCGCCGCCCCTCCGGCGGCTCCCCCGGCCCCGAGCACCGCTCCTCCCTCGCGTCGCTGATGCTCAACATCAACACGTCGGCCGTCTCGAGCATCAGTGCCACCATCAACGGCACCGCCCGCCTGCTCGACGCCGGCTCGCCCGAGGAGCGTTTCTACCGCGAGCAGCACCTCGAGAACAACACGTTTGACAATGAGGGCTTTGGCCCTGCGAGCGTTGAGGCCGAGGACGGCGGACGCGGCTGTTTTGTTGCAGGAGAAGAGGTCAGGGTTATTGTCGTTACGATTCGCGACGTGAGGATCAGCGATTGGAAGGGTAGCGTGCGGGACTTTGTCCTGACGACGACGAGCGAGGGCTCGGCGGAGGCGGCCGTCAATGGTGTGAGGTAAACGGAATCAGTAAGGGCTTGGGACTGGTCACGGATGCGAGTGGTGAAAGTCGCTAGTCTGACTTTTAATATGTATTTCGACGAAAGTTCAAACTACTCGAAGAAAGAAATATGACATGAACGCTCGCTGCTTTAATCAATGAAAATCACTCCAAACGCCTCCAGCAGCACGAGCCGGAAGCCTCTCGACTTTGGTAGGTCAGGGCCTGCCGCGAAACCAGCAGCTATACCTCTTCATAGCCACAATGGCTCAGCCGGCACAGCCCAGTGTTCGGGGCAAAATTGCACCAAAAACGATCATCGGGGCTGTGACTGTAGCGGCTGCCACCGACCTGACATATCGTCTTATTTTAATACAGAGGTGAAAAGGAAAAAGATGAATGATGTTTGCGTATGATGATCCGTTTGACACGGACGTAGGACCTAGCCGAGCTGGGCCCACTCGACAACCTCGAGGGCACACATAACAAGAACGAGGGTGGAGGGAAGGATCCTGGATAGGTTGTTAGTTTGGGCATGACACCAAGAGGAGAATCATGGCGAGGAACATACCAAATGACGTAGCTCTGGAAGAGAATCTTCGACATAACGCCCTCGTAGACCTCGTTGATCTGGCAAATCTGGGCCAGCTGCAGGGCACTCGGGGCACCCGTGAGGAGGAAGCACACGATGACGAAAATGGGATCGTCAAGGATGCTCACGGGCACGTACTTGGCGAAGACAGCGAGGATGGGGGCCATGATGAGTGTGGGGAGAAGCATACGGCAGATGAGCGAAGCGATGAGGAGCTTCTGGCCGATAATGTCCTCCTCAGGATCACGTTGCTTCTCGCTCTTCTGCGTGTTACGGGCCAGGTTGGCGCCGAGGACGACCAGGATCAGAGGTACGGCCACGTTACCGCTGGACTGCACGGCGTTGGTGACGCTGTTCTTGACGAAAGAGCCTTCCTCGAAGAAGAGCTGTTGCAGAGCCGGGACAGAAGCGACGATGACGGCGAACAGCATCGCCCACAGAGGAGGGTTCATGAACTCCCAGATAAAGTTGTTGACCTTGGCACCGAAGCGACCCAGACCCGCGAGAACGACACGGATAGGGTTAGGGAGGCTCGTGTAGATCCTGGCGAAGAAGGCGGCCACGGTCTGCCTGGCTGCGCTCAGCTTGTCCTTGATTGTCATCTTGGCGCGGGCAGGGAACCCGGCGACGCCCTCAGGCGACTCGTTGTCATCGGCACTACGAATGCGGGGGAAGGAGAGCATGGGGTCGTCGCTTTGGTTTCCGTTCAGAGGCGCGGCTGCGACAGGCTTACCAGCCTTCTTCGCGATGAAAGGTCGGCTCTCGTCATCCGTGTCGGAATCGACCAACGAGATCTGGGACTGGTGGGCAACGGGGGTGCGACCGCCGGGCTCGTATTGCGACAGATCGCTGCTCGAGGGCGAGCGAGAGTTGGCAGCCGTGTCGCCTTCAAAGCCAGGCAGAAGCGCGTCCGCCTCGCGTGCATCTTGCTCATCCGTGTAGCGACCCTCCTCGACCCGCTCATTCTGATATTCGGGATACTTGTCCTTGGGCGCCAGGAGGACGTGGTAACCCCAGCTCCACCGAACCAACTGTCCGAGCTGCTGGAAGATGAGGAGATAGAGGATGCCGCGAGCGCCCACCTCATCGTCGTTATCGCCGGGTATCCTGTCCCAGTGGAGACCCTTCAGCGTCTGCGACAGCGACAGAACGAGAGAAATCGGCAGAGAGTTGGAGTTGCCAAAGACGCCCATGGCGGTGACGAAGTTGGACGCTCGTTTGTTGAAACCGAATGCTCGCGAAACACCGGTGGCGACGACGTAGGAAACGAGTGTCTGGACGATAAAGATGACGGGGATGACTGCGAGTTCAACCAGCTTGTCGGCGTTCAGCTGTGAGGCCAGCTTCGTGAAGACTACGTCCTTGAGTCAGCATTTTTTATTTTTCAACGCCATAGTCAAGCTCGGACTGGGACGACATACTCAGGCAAGGTGTGAAGAGCATAACATTGAGGTTGGCGAGGAACTTTTGCTTGTCGGCATCGAAATGCCCCAATCGTGCGACGATGTAGCCAGGCAAGCTGACGCACACGACTTCGAGAACAGCCTCGAAGACGAGGAGGACCAGGTGGCCGAGAGAAGGGTGGGAGTCGTGGGGTTGCGGTGCTGCGAGCTGTTGCAGCGGCATCTCGTAGGCGTCCTGGGCCATCTGGACGAGGCGCCAGGACGTCGGCGTGCCCATGTATTGTTGTGCCATTACAGATCGAGGAGTTTCTGGTTTTCAGTTTCGTAAATGGGTTTCTAGTCTTGGCTAGGGTGAGGAACGTGCCCTTGTTGAGCAATCGATGTTGTGATCAGGCAGTTCGCACGTCAGAGACGGAAAGTAGGCGAAGATGGGATGGGGGGGGGGGCGTGGCGCCGAGAAAAGTAATCGAACCCCTGCAAACCAAGACAGTGGGTTGGTGTGGAGGTGTGATGATGTGCTCAGTCGCTGGAGTGGCGTGGGCGTTTCGGCGATTGACTCGATGGTGCTGACTTGCAAGCCGATGAATGAAGATGAGAGAGGAAAAGCCGAGCAATATCAATGTGCGGGAGAGATGAAATAAGTCAGGCCTCCGGACAGCGAGAAAATGTCATCGTCGCAGGGAGGAGATCAGAGCAGTGGCAGTGCCAGGTTTTAGGCAGAATCTGCCAAAACTAGGTAGGTAGGTACGTAGTAGCACGAACGGTCAAACTCGACGATAAGGTGCGCGCGAACGAGCGAGCGAGCGAGGTGAGTGAGGCGAATAGTGCTGGACCCACGACAACGCCAGACGCACACCCCGGAGCCCAGGCCTGGAGTCTGAGTCCCTGTTCGGCTGGTCTCCAGCGCAGCACAGCGCACAGCAGCGCGCACCAGCAGCCTTCCAGGTTCCTCTGTTTGCTGCACAACGCCCAGACTAGTTTCATGCCGGCCTGATTGCCAGGATCAGGGGCGACTTGCTCCGGGGCTTGTGCAGCCACCACGATCAGCTCCCAGCGCGTTGGCGCCCTCCAAGTCTCCGACGGCCTATCACACGGCGTTTGGCCCAAGATGCCAGCACACAGCCAATGAAAGATGCAGAACCACCCACGATGACGGAATTTCAGACGATCGTAGACGGCCATACTCGTGCTCCAGAATTATGCCCATGGGATGCCCGCACAGTTCCTTGCAGCGGGATGTGTCACCTTTTCGCTCTCTGGGCCCTGATCTACGACCTAATGTTCCATGGGTTATTTGCGTGAGCGACCTCATCCGGCCACACAATAGTGACGCTGTCCCGATCCGCTTTGGGAAAACTTGGCATGAGCCATGAGCTAGCCCGTCGTCACCGCCACACGCTGATGTTGGCCGCAGCGCATGTTAAATGGTGGCGCGAGTCGTCATCGGCTAGCTAACGGATCGCTAAGTCCACATTTCCAGGCTGAGTCATTGCAATTTGCATCGAGGCAAATTATAACACTCGGTAGTTGCAATACTGTATACAGGGCCCACGCTCATCATCGCTTAGGACGATACCCACATCAGATCCTCGCTGCCAATTCGAGAAGCTCCCAAATCTCGTCTTCTTTAGCATGATCTATTGGCTTCACATCTGCTCGATTCCGCGCTTCAACGTCGGCGCCCGACTTCAGCAGCAGCTTCACCACCGCAGAATTGCCACGCCATGCGGCCAGGTGAAGCGGCGTTGTCCCCTCAAGGTCCTTCGCGTTAACGTTCGCGCCGCGTTGCAGCAGGTATCGAGCATTCGCCAATGATACCTCGGGATCAAACGCGTCTTTATGCAATACATCGTAGCTGTACAACACGTGGTGCAGCGGCGTCATGCCTCCTTCGTCTGCGTCTTCCACTTCCAAGCCTTTGTCGACGAGGAACCGGACCACTGCCGTCGAGTCAATGCCCATGGAGGCTGCTGCTGTGTGAAGCGGCGTGCGGCCCTGATTGTCGCGGCTAAAAATGTCGGCTCCGATCTCGATTAGCCATTCAACTGTCGCCAGCCATCCCTGCGCTGCGGCCAAGTGAATGGGTAGAACTCCGTCTCGGTCTGCAATGTGCTGGCTCGCGTCCGTGGCGAACAGTCGAGCCAGTAGCGCCTTGCAGGGTCTCAACTTGGGGTTGAGCAATGCCAAGTGAAAGACCGTTCGTCCTCGAAGCGTCAGCAGCGACGTGTCGGCCCCACGATCGAGAAGTAGCTCTACTTGTGCCCTGGTTCCGAACGACGCCGCAACATGTAGTGGGCTCTCGCCATCAGTGTTCTGTGCGTTCAAGTCAATACCTAGTTCGAGCATGTACCCGGCCATCGTGGGATCCTCATTCACAGCTGCCAGGTGTAAGAGGTTGTCGGCGTCATGGGATGAGCACTCAACGACCATGCTAGCGCCGCCGAGACAGACCAGCTGCTGCATCGCACTCAATGGCCCTCCCGAGGCTACCATGGCGAGCAAAAAGGTCAGTGCTCTCGGCGTCAACGCGATATTCATCTCAAACAGCATGTCCAATGCCTCTTTGGAAAAGCCCATGACTGCGCACAGCATAGTCATGACCGCGGAACCCTGCTCGGCCCCAAATACGGAACCAAAGTCAATACTTCCAGTGGTGAGTAACGACATGAGGGTTGACGTTCTGGACTGCAGCTTGGCCGTGATTGTCATCAAGTTCGCCTCCTCCGCTTGAAAATTTACTGCGCCGGCCAAGAGCTGCATCACGGCCAGATGCTGGTTCCAAGGGTTGGCAAGCGCGTCAGGGTCAAGTTTCAAGACGAGCCGAACAACCTCCGCATCGCCAGAGTATGCGGCCATGGCGATTGCGTTGTGAGATGGGCGTAGTATGCGGTTCCGAAGCTTCGAGCCCGAGAGTAATGATTCGTTTTCGAACCTTGCTCCAGCGTCCAATAGCATTCGGAGAATATCAAGATTGCCAGTCTTGCAGGCGATGGGCAGGGCAAGTTCACCTGGAGCATTTGGGTCGGCCCCGTAGGCTAACAGTATTTTGATCGCCTCGTGCGATCCTCGTGTGACAGCAAGCGACATGTGGCTCACTATATCAGCCTCGAAACGGGTTTCATGAACAAGCTCCCCCGTCTTGCACAGGTGCTCCACGAGGCTGACCAAATTCTTGCGGACGGCCAGCAAGGATAAGTCGTAATCTGGATGAAGAAAGCTGTCCGGATACAGGCTGTTGCGCATATCAAGCCAGGTTTTGAATGCGTCGGGTCGCGCGGCGAATGTCTGCAATACGACATCACACAACGGGACGCCTAGTGCCTCGGCCCGCTTGCAATGCCGACTCCAATTCTTCACCGCGTAAAGAAAGAGCGGCGTTTCTTTGAAAATACCAGTCTTACGCGTGGTGTTTGGAGACGACCTCAACAACCGGTACGTCTCACTCATGCGAAGATACTGGAGGCATGCTCTTGTGAGCCTCGCGTGTCCGTCCTTTTCAAACTGTTCTGGACTCGGCAAGCCGGTCGTCTTATCCTGGCTCCGAAGAGAAAGAAAGTCCTTCACAGACTGATGCACAAACTGCACGACTTGGCGGCTTTCGTTCCGCGCCGTTTCTCCAACCTCCTCAGCGGTATCGAGTCTGTCGGCAGGCACAACTTCTAGAAGCCCCCCACAGCGGCTTCGTATCCTTCTCTGCATGACTTGATAATTTGACACCAGCTTCGTTGACCGGTTCATATCGGCGAGAGAGCTTATAGCATCGTCAGAGCAAAGATTCAGGACCAGCCTAAACTCCTCTATGGTCAGCGGCTTCTTGGCCGTCAGCGCCATGCTCAACATAGCGTGGGTCTCTTCTCGGTGCTTCTGTGCAGGATGGCCGAGAAGCATTTCGAATATACCGCTGAGCTCGCCGGGAAGCTCATCAATGGTCTCGCGAATTTCATCAGATGTTCCACCGTCGCGGACGGCTTTAGTTACACGGTCCAACGCCAGGCGCACCCACAGAAAAATACCGTTAGCTTTCTTGATGATGGCTTTCTTCAGCTCCTGGAACTCATCTGCTGGCGCGTCCATTGGTATGGAGGAAGACCAAACGTCGTGGACAAGGTTTGCTATATCCGATTGATTGTGATGTTCCATTCGCAAGCACTCGGCCGGATTCAGGTTCGATGTGTCGGGTAAATATCTGCAAGAAAATACGATGCGTACGTTCTTCCCTAGAGTGCCATCTAACAGCACCTTCAGGAAGCTCAGGATCTCCACAATGTCAATCTCAGATTGACATTCGTCAAGAGCATCAAAGATCATAAGGAATCGCAGAGTTGTGGATCCTAGTGCAATCACCCGAGTGAGAGCTCGTTTCAACAACCATTCCGGCCAGTGGTTTGGTGTCATTTGCTGAGGGTCTTGCATCGTATACCAGTCTTGCAGCATGTGCTCAAATAAGCTCGGCTGCTGGCGTAGAATCTGCTCCAACACGGACTGCAAAAATCCTTGAAACGAATGCTCAATGATCTGGCCGCGTTTGTTGAAAAAGTGATGGACGAGAACGTCCATCTCGCTGAATTGCCTTGCTTTGCTTACCATATCCCCCATGAGGACAGTTTTCCCGCTTCCTGGCTTACCTTCAATGGAGAAGAGGCCTGCGCCGCGGGTAAGCCATTTAAGAAACTTGCCCTCGCGTTCCCAGAACCACCGCAGGGTGGCTCGATGAGGTTCGATCGGCCTCTTGCCACGGCGCCACGCAAGTGGTACTGCGAGGCTTGCAATACAATCTGCACTAATTAGCCGCAGGCTCAAGTCAAACTTCAGCGAACGTACCTCTAGACATCTGGGTGAGGGTATCTGATACATGTTAGTCACGTCAATATGCTGGAAATTGGAGTGGGACACTTCCAACTAACCAGTACTTTTCGCCGGGTCAGTCTCAAGTAGAAATACTCGAATCTTTCTCTTCAATGTTTCAAGCAGCGTTCGGTACGCATCATCTTCAGGTCCAGTGAATCTCACCAGGCGCCGATGGTCTCTGGCAATCGGTATATTTTCAGCCTTCTCACTGTCGAAGACGGCTGAGTCCTTATCGACCACCTAATTAAGTATTAGCACCATCCCGCATCCTAGCAGTCATCCTGGTTCATTACTTACGAGCTCACCTAAGCCTGGCAGGTTTACCTGCTCGTAAAAATTCACTATGGCGATAGACCCCTTGATCTTGACAAAGTCTGAGTTGCAGATGAATGACTCGCTGGTTCGAGGTTGCAGAGCAGTCTTGATCTGCGCGGGCATTTGCTTATGCAACATCATCTTACCCAATTTGAGACCAGTCTGGGCAAAGAGCTTTTCCAAGACGTGGCTGCCACGATGTGGTGTACCGAGGAAGAAGACTGCCTTTGTCGCTTGGAGTATGTCCATGTCTGATGGCCGGCGTGAGCTATGCACCAAGGCCTGCTTGATCACCAAGCCGCCGAGACTATGCCCTATCAGCACGAGGGGCCGAGAGTCCTGTAATTGTGAGGGTTGGCAATAAGGTGGCAGAGGGAGTTGACGCACATTCGTCTCTGACCGCATATTTTTCAGGTGCAGCAGCAGGCTCTCAGCATGTTGATAGACGCCAAGCGAATTGATAGACCCTGAAGATAGGTCGGCAAGATATCCAAACACCGTGATCCGAGCAGATTCGACATGCTTTCCGAGGTCAGTTGGCCAGTAAAATCCGGTTTCATCGTTTTGAAATGTCTTGAAGGGTGACCCATTCAAACCATGAACGATAACGATGCTACCCCGCGTTAGCTGGGTCCTCGACCTGTAGTGCGATTGTAACCAGCGATGTGAACCTTAGACGTGCACGGGGTAGCCAGGTGAACAGCGGCACTTACTCAAGCGCTGGGTGTGGGGGGTCGATGAGCACTGTGAGCCCCTCCCGATGGATTTCAGCCTTCTCAGACACATACTTGCTGAATAAAGATGATGATCTCGAAGCCATGGTCATGCTGTCGAACCCTAAGGTTGTAAGCAGCTTGAATGAAGGACGAGACGCGAGCACGATCGAAAGTGGCGATGCTTATCACCACACAGATGGCATCATCCCGGAGTGAGGCTGAGTGTGTTCTGAGCTATCGAATCCATCAAGCGTACTTAGCTACTTAAGAGCCTGCAGGAGATGCATGCGCGCTTACGCCACGTGATGAGGCTGACTTGAAGGCACCCAAGTCAACAGACAGGTCTTTGGTACCCAACTGAAAAGGCCAGCCTTACTTGCTCCTCATTCATGCCGCAACCTCCCCGTGACGAGGTTGAAAGACAATCGTGCGGGAGCCGTACCGCCTGGACAGAGGATCAAACGCTCCAGTACGAAAGATGGGTACGGTAGTTCAAACGTTTTTGCCAAACCTGAGAATCAGAACGCTAACACGCTTGTCTGTGTAGCCACTATAGACAACGGGTCGCAGGCCAAGGACAAGGCTCGAGACAAGAAATCGCGACGAACATGGTTCCAGCGCTCGAAGCCTGCTAGCGGCGAGTTCGAATCTAGAGGCCAGGTCGCTACAGTTCAGACATTCTACGAGAGCTTTGATACCGATAATGGAACGACCAGTTGGGTTGATTGGGCACCACCATCTTTGATGGCACCGAAGAAAAGAAAGTTCGAAGGTGCAGCGATTCAGATCATGCAGGCTTTACGTGACGAAGAAGAAATAGTAGCCGGCGGAGACAGATACTATGCCCGAACGATTCGTCTCCAGAGCCCGTACATTCGCGAAGCGCTTGCTGAAGATTTCAAGAAGCAAGGGCTGCATTACGGTGCATCTGATCGAGCAGAGTCTCAGTACCCTCACATGGCCTTGTTCTTTTGTCGCGAACGGATTGCTGAGATTTCCAAAAGCGCTGATGACGAGTTGACCAGACGTCACTGTGAGCTTCTTTGCGAGGTCGTCGAGAAACAGCTCAGCTCAGTCTTGGATGCCTACGACGAGTATGAGAGGTATCAAACGGTATCATTCGCCCACGTCTGGATTTTGTTCCCGGTAGATTCCATTTTTGGCAGGCAGCGTTACGGCAATGTTCGTGCATATCAGGTTGACCAAGTTGTACTGAAACCTGAATATGTTACGATCCATCACCACTCGATAGAGTTCGACGGCTGTCGATACGGCATACGTCTTTCGAGTCGGCAAATCCTCCACTTCGAGGGCAAGATGCCTGCGTCAAAGCTGACCCCAGACACATTCATCGACTTGTACAAACACCCAGAGGCCCGTGAGCGCCTACTTGAACGTGGCAAGGAACTACTTGAGTATCAATTGCCAAGATATGCCCAATTCACTCCACGGCTGGCTCCATCTCATTCGGGATCTCCGAAGTCTTTCGCACAAGTGAGTACCCGGCAACAGCAGGTTCTCCAGAGGGTTATTCACGGAACTTCTGTAGGCACACCGGGTTATGATCGACAGCTTTTTACTCTACAAAGAACGTGGATGGTCTACAAAGAACCTGCCCGAGTACGCTGAGCTAGCAGGTGTCGGAAAAGCCCCTTTGCAAGGCGACGACGACAGGACAAGTGGGGACATCCCTTACTAACGGCCACCTTCATATCAATAATATTTGGGAACTGACTTGGAAGAATATAGATGAGTGGAACTCCAGAACAAGTTCCAATAAGCTCAAGCGACCAACAGCAGAGGAGATTCAACGAAACAAGGACATCATGCTCGGCAATGAAAACTATCTTCTGATCCACACCCCCGAACTCGTTATTTACTCCTTGCAAGAGGGGAGATGGGGTAGGTTCCGTCAAGCCATCAAGTATCGCTCTGTCGAAAAGTCTATCGCTCATATAGTGCTCTAGGGATGGGTGTCGTGGAGAACATTGATCCCATTGGTCTCGATGCAGAAGTCTTCGACAAGGTAGTGTATGATGAGAAGAAGAAAGATATACTAAGAGCCTTGACCAAAAGTCATGTAGAAGAGGGTGCCAACTACAGCGATCTCATTGCTGGCAAAGGTGAGAAATCGATCTACCCAGAACCCTATCACAGTCGCTAAGCTGGTCAAAAGGTCAATCATTTCTTGTGCTTCTGAGCGGAGAACCAGGCACCGGCAAAACCTTGATGGCCGAAGCGCGTACGAACATGTCCAATATCTATTAACTTTTAAAGTTTCTTGCTAGTGCTGACTATGAAGTTGCCGATCACCTTGGACGGCCACTACTGCGGGTAGCGTCTGTAGGCCCTCCGCCAAGAGTCTATGATAGTAGTTCGGATTCGGAGTCTTTGAGGACTTTAAAGCGCAAACCAAAAGGGCTGAGCAGCGAACTCGAATCAAAGATAGACAGGGCATCAGAATGGGGCGGACTGGTACTTTTCGACGGTAAGCACGGGTACTTACCTCGCCACACAGTCTTGTAACTAACGTTCGTGGCACAGAGGCAAACTTCGTTATAGAGGGGAGAAACGTCGCGACGAGCCAGAGCACAATATCAAGTAAGCTTCTCCCGGGCCGAAGCTCTGCAGTGCTAGGCTAAGGTTCCATAGCGTTCTTGCGGCACATTGAATATTTCAAAGGTAAGCAGTGTCTTCCGAAGCTCAATCAGCGCATGGAAAGCTGCGAGGACCATGGAGTTGAATAATGAATGTTGCGTACTGTTAGGTATCGTCTTCCTCACAACAAACGTCAACTCGTCCATCAATACTGCACTTCAGTCCCGGGTGCAAATTCACCTCACCTTTCCAGGGCTCACACGTGCAATGCGAGCCAAGGTATGGGGGAATTTCGTGGACAGAGCTCCCGATAATGTTCGAAAACTTGATGGCCCAGAAATCGCACGACTATCAGATTGGAGCATGAGTGGCCGAGACATCAAGAACACGTACAACATGGCGATCGTGCTGTGTCAGCAACGGGAAGTACCTGTCACGGCGGACGCGGTGGAGGACTTGATCACCCTCGTCAGTCCTTTCGCAAGTCGAGAGGGTAGCTCTGAGCCTACGAAGTCCATCCGAAACGGAACCAGGCCCAAGACCTCGACAAAGGAATTGGAGGAAAGCTTGCTAGATTTGTGAATCTACGACTTAAGGGGTCGTTCACTTTTGTTTGTTGAATAGCACGAATGAGTAGCGAGTCACTTGTATCCACGAATACGAACTTTTCCACATTAACACTGACACTTCCAATTCATCTAGTTGAACTTCGAAGCGACAAGAAGCAGCTGACAGAAGTTGTGGACACATATAACCTTGAAATGTGTCGATATCTTGTACTACTGAAAACTTTATCCATTATAAGTAGACAGCCTCAACATCCAGAAGTCAACTTGCAATGTGTTACTCACGGACCGTTCATTGTGCTCAGTGCGATACCTCGAAAACACACATTGTCCGGTGCTTGGCACAGCAGAAAGTCAGCGACAAGAAGGAGGGCAACTTTACAAGATGCTCGACAATCATCCCGCTTCCTACAGTGGCTGCACTGCAGGAGCAGAATTGTCCCACTTGTGCCATCCGCCAGGAAGAAGAGAGCCTCGCGAAAGCAGCAAGCAAGTTAGCCAGGCAAGAGAGACGGCAGAAGCGGAACGAAGCAGTGCGGGCGCATCGAACGGCTCAAGAAGAGCGAGTGGCTGCGGCTCTTGATGACGGGGAAGCGTTGAAGTCGAAGAAGTGTGCGGTCATGTGAATGGCCAAGATCTGGAAAGTGAAACATAGCATACCGACAAGAAATTGAACCTCAAAGGCCAGAACCGAAGAGCGAGACGCGAATCCAAATTGATGTGCGTAAGCTTGAAGTCGTAGAGTCTATAGCCAAGATGGATCGGCTTGACTGTTATGGAAGCGCCTCACTCAATGTAAGGTAGGTATCTTGACGTCTCCCATTGAGCCTCCAAAATCGTGCATTGTGCACTCATTGACTGCACAGCATTCCCGAAGATGTATGTGCAGGTTGCTGAGCGATGTTTTAGACCTTTTTTCATTGAGAGGGACTTGGAAAAGGCTTGATTGACTTATGCTGTGACTTCTGATAGCGAAAAAGCGTGACAGATCTGAAAAGGAAGGAAACCAAGAAAGAGGGCTTATCCTCCACAAGAAAAAGACATCAGCAAGGCCTGCAAAATACTTGTCCGTCGTCCATGATCTCTCGCTGTGAAGAATTTATCCCGGCCCTGTCACAACGACCCCGGACTTCCCCATAACTTCGGGCGCGGAGCAGTATGTCCCTCTCAGCACTTCTGCCACTTGACGTTGACCTGCTGCGTAAAGGCGACGGTAGCATCATCATCGGTGATGGAGCCGTAAGCAGACGGGACCTTGCTGACGAGGTTGATTCTGTTGTTGACGTTCAAGATGCCACTGGCGCCGCACTGGGCCCAGATGAGCGCAGCCGTGGGGATGACGTCCTGCTTCGTGTAGACCTGGCCGTCCTTCCAGATGCCGCCGCCGTCGATCGAGGTCGACGTCGTCGTCGTGGCACCGGCGTCCTGCGAGAAGAAGTAAGTCGAGAAGAAGGTGCCACTGACGCCCTGGTCGAGCTGCGCGAAGCCGTGGTATGTCGACTCGACGACGGCAAACTGGAAGCCGCTCGGGTAACGCAGGTTTAGATGCAGGTTGCAGTTCTTAGTGCGCTCGGCAAAGGGGATACCTGGGCCGATGTACGTCTGGAAGCGGTCGAAGCCAAACGTGATGACGGTGCGGTCGGGGGAGATGGTGGTCGAGACGCTGCCCTGGGGACAACCACTGCCGGAGAACTGGGCCGAGACGATGTGAATCTCATTAGGGTTGGGCGTGCTTGGGGCGACGACCGTGGGAAACCTGGGCCTGGCTAGGGTCAGAACTGGAGCCAAGAGGGCGACTAGTTGGATCTTCATAATGAGAGGCAAAGGGGTCAATAACGAATCCAATTCTGCTATAGAGTGGGTGAGTATGAGGAAATGATGCCAAGATCCTTGAGGATGACTGACAAGGAGAGGCACATTTTCCAAGCCTTGATCAGCATTGCTTTTATAGTCACAGATTTATCTTGGGCGCCTCTACAATCTACACATCGCGTGACGGTCGAATCAGGCCATTCGTTCTTTTGCGATGGATGTTGGGCACAAGACTTGGCCAGACTCACGATGGTGGCAGCGACGTGACGCCTCCGCAACCGAGCTGCTCCCCAACCACTGGCAGGCATGGCCCATAGTGGCAATAAAGTGCAATCAGCACAGCGTCACAAAGGGAGCCATCACTGGATGGATAGAGCCATGCCTGCTGCAACGGTGGCTCTCAGCCTCTCTTTCGAAGGCATCGTGGTCTTGCCGATGTCGCCTTGGTGCGGCGCCTATTTGCGGATGAAGAGCAGGATAAATGAGCGCATATTGGGGCGGGACAATGATATTTTATAGAGCTTTCGCCTGGATGAAGGTGACGTGACCCTGGATGTGCAATGCAGGGTAGTTCCGATGCTACCATACCCTCCTCACAAATAGACCCGGATCTGAGCTAATCGCCGCCTGGGCGTCGATCCGGAAGCTAGCGGTTGGGTCATTTGGACTTGAAGTTCCAGTCCAAGCGGGAGTTTATCTGTAGAGCGATACTGAGTAGCAATGCAATCGCCGGAGATTGATGAGTCTCGCGAAGAATTGCACTGGGCAAATACGTCGATGATGTAGCAGTGATTCGACAGCCATTGCATTCGCGCTATGTGCGCTCCCAAGTGATTCGCATTTTCAGCTCAGGGGGTCGACCGCTGGCAAGGCTGATTTGGTACACTAACGTGCACGACGCTATGTTAAAGTACTACGCTACGGGTGTAAGACTCACGGTGTATCGAATGTTTGGGTCGGTGGCACTTGAAGTGTCGGACTGCTTGGGACCTTCACGCACATGACCATAGCTGCTGGCTAAAGTGCCAAGAGCCATGTAATTGAGGGCTTTGCAATTAGCACCCCGACTCACTCAGTGTGGGCACAGTGTGATACCGTTCTCAAGGCAAAGTATTGTGAACTTGGGTAGCTTAAGTAAATATTCAAACTATGGATGGCTTAAGATCCTCCGTGACTGAACACCGCCCAGATCTACTGTCTCGGAACACGAAATGCAAAAAGGGCTACAAAAGACTTTTTCTCACACCGCAAAAGATATTTACGCACTCTCGGCCTGCTTAAGAAGACCCTCGAGGTTGATGCTCTTGGGGCGCTCAATGGGAAGACCCAGGGCGCGGTCCCAGATGAGCTGAGCCAGAGGGCCAAGGCCTCGGGAGACACCGAAGGTGGCAGTGTAGTAGAGGGTCTCGTGGAAGCCGTAGTGGTGGAAGAGGACGCCAGAGCTCGAGTCGACATTGGGGTAAGGGTTCTTGGTCTTTCCGTGCTTCTTCAGGACCTCAGGGGCGAGCTCGCTGTTCAGCTTGACGAGCTGGAACACAGGGTCCTCGGCAATCTCAGGACGGGCAGACGCGTAGTCCATCAGGGCCTCGAAGCGAGGATCGGGCTTGCGGAGGACGGCGTGGCCATAGCCTGGAACGACACGACCCGAGTTGAGGGTCGACCACAGGTATTCGGTAACGTCCTTGCCGGTGTAGGACGAAGGGATGTTCTCCTTCATCTGAAGGATCCAGCGGAGGACCTCTTGGGCGGCGAGACTGCAGCATTATTAGCTTTTGATTGTAGCACTGTTTGACTTGATCAACTTTACCCGTGAAGAGGACCAGCAAGGCCCTGCAGACCGGCACTGTAGCTGAGGAAGGGGTCGCTCAAGGCGCTGCCGACAAGGTGCGTGGCGTGAGCAGAGACGTTGCCACCCTCGTGGTCGCCGTGAAGGGCGAGATAAAGCCGTAGGAGGTCCTGGAAGTTCTCGTTCTCCTTGCCGCCCTTGCCGAGCATGGCGGCAAAGTTGTACGACCAATCCTGGCCGAGATCGACCTCGGCAGGAAGGGCACCACCGCCGCGGTAGGAGTTCTGGTAGATCTTGGCGGCGATGGTGGGCAACTTGGCGAGCAGCGAGATGCTGTCGTCGAAGGTGGGCTCCCAGTAGTCGGCCTTGTTGAGACCGTTCTCGTAGGCCTTGGCGAACTTGGAGGTGTAGTTGAGGGCGGAGACGGCCATGGCGAACTGGGTCATGGGGTGAAGATCGGTGGGGAAATCATCAAGCATCTTGTTGACGAAGGCGGGCAGCTGAGCCTGCTCAGCAAGCTCGCGAGAAAACTGGCGAACTTGGTTGGTGGAGGGGACCTGGCCGGTCAGGAGAAGCCAGAACATGGCCTCGGGAAGCATTTCAGTGCCCGTCTTGCCCTTGGGCAACTCCTTCTGACAGTCCTTGATGGTGCGGCCGTGGAAGCGGATGCCCTCGTTGGCGTCTAGGACGGAGCCCTCCCAGACCATGGCCTTGAGGCCACGCATGCCACCGAGGGTGTTCTCGACCTTGACCTCACCGATGACCTTGTTGGAGTGAGCCTTGACCTTCTTAAGAAGCTCGCGCTTGGCGGGGATAGCTTCTTTCAGGGTGGTCTTCAGGTCGGGCTCGGAGGTGGAGTACTGGCGGGCATTGACGGCGGACCGGGCAGCCATGGGCTGTGAAAGTCAGCAAGACGAAATCAGTTTGCAACAATCGGTGAGGGACCCACGCGAAGGGCGCCCAGCGCTCTCGTCGTTCGGCGGATGTTCATAGCCATTGTGGATGTTTGTTGTAGGTCAACTTTGTACGGACTGAATTGAGTATGGCGGATGGAGGGGCACTGCCAGGGACTGATGATCAGAAGCACCCGGAGCAATGATTGGCACAAAAGACTTTGATTGACACGGTCGACTCAATCCAGGGTCAAGTAACTTCAGATTATGTGAAGCAGATGATCAGAGGCAAAGAGGTAAGATGTGAAGGAGGAGAAAAAGTCGGGAGGCTTAAGAATGTCCAGAAGTTAAGCCGAGCATGTGAGGGGAGGCAGCGAACAGACCGAAACAGCAAGAACCACTGGGAGTCTGGGGATGGTGGGGCATTACCTCCTCCTCCGGCCCAAAAGCCCCCCCCGTCTGCAGCGACGGGCCTCACTGAAAGAGCGCTGGAAGGCGGGGCTCATGGGGGGGTTGGGGCAGAACGAGGCTCACCGCCCTGGAATACCGAGGCAAGCCGGGACGTCACTTGGTACCTCCACTCGCCCACCGGCAACGGCCCAGCGGCCAGATCGATTGGCCAATGACGGCATGCTGATATGGAGACACCCCCGCGTTGGTCGTTCCTGCGGCAAAAGAGTACCGCTTAACCAAGGCATTTCGCCAGAGCAGGCGCCATGGGTTAGAAGTTGCAGCTGAGCAGGTGCCTGTCAGCTTCTGGCCGTGCTATTGCCTGTTTGCATGTCATACCTCGATTTCTCATCTTTGGTTCCTGCATCGAGTGAAACCAACTGCTGTCGGACGTGCCCTTACGCCTCATCTTCTTTCCTCGGTCTCCGAAGATATCGCCGGCCATATCTTCACTCCACCCCAGGCACACTTCAACCCACCACTACCCTCGGTATGCCACCAATCTCATCGTCGATTGACTGCCAGTTTTAACATAGGTAGTTATTGACAAGACACAGCAGCTTGTCAGTCAAACGAAACACAATCACACCATGATGCGCCGCATCGCAACAAAAGCCCCCCGCCGGGTCCCTCTTCTCAAGCCTAGGACGACGCCGATTTCTGCTCCCTCGCTTGCCGCGCGCTGTCTATCGACAACCCCCAAGATGGCCAAGACGCCGGCCAACCCTTTCTCCGATGTTCCGGCAGATGCCTTCCAGCTCCTGTCTGAGGCCAACAAGGCTGGCGAAGCCGAGGATGCTTTGTACGAATCCCAAATCAAGGAGGTCGAGGCATGGTGGCGATCTCCTCGCTACGAGGGCATCAAGCGCCCTTACAGCGCAGCTGATGTTGTCTCCAAGCGCGGGACCCAGCAGCAGACCTACACCAGCTCTCTGATGGCCCGTAAACTCTTCAACCTCATCAAGGAGCGCGGAGCGGAGGGCAAGCCCCTGCATACCATGGGCGCCATCGACCCCGTCCAGATGACCCAGCAGGCTCCTCACCAGGAGGTCCTCTACATCTCAGGCTGGGCTTGCTCCTCCCTCTTGACGTCGACCAACGAGGTGTCGCCCGACTTTGGCGATTACCCCTACAACACGGTGCCGAACCAGGTCCAGCGCCTGGCCAAAGCCCAGTCGATGCACGACCGCAAGCAGTGGGACGCCCGTCGCAAGCTGACGCCTGAGCAGCGTGCCAAGGCGCCCTACACCGACTACCTCCGACCCATCATCGCCGACGGTGACACAGGCCACGGCGGTCTGTCGGCCGTCCTCAAGCTGGCCAAGCTGTTCGCCGAGAACGGCGCGGCGGCTGTGCACTTTGAGGATCAGCTCCACGGCGGCAAGAAGTGTGGCCACCTCGCAGGCAAGGTTCTCGTGCCGGTGGGCGAGCACATCAACCGCCTCAATGCAGCGCGGTTCCAGTGGGATGTCATGGGCACCGAAAACCTCGTCATTGCTCGCACAGACTCGGAGAGCGGCAAGCTCATCAGCAGCGCCATTGACGTGCGCGACCACGAGTTCATCCTCGGCGTGGCCGACCCTTCGATCGAGCCCCTCGCGGAGACGCTCCAGGCCATGGAGGCCCGCGGCGCCGTTGGCAGCGAGATTGACGCGTTCGAGGCCAACTGGGTCAAGTCCACCAAGCTCGTCAGCTTTGACGAGGCCGCCGTCGCCCACATGAAGTCCGAGGGCGTCGCCCAGGAGCACATTGACTCGTACCTCGAGACGGTCCGCGCCAACCGCGACCTCGGCATCGCGCACCGCCGCAAGCTGGCGTCGCAGCACACGTCCAGCCCAGTCTACTTCTCCTGGGACGTGCCCCGCACGCGCGAGGGCTACTACCACTACCGCGCCGGCATGGATGCCGCGACGAAGCGCGCCCTTGCCTTTGGCCCCTACGCCGACCTCCTCTGGGTCGAGACGGGCGACCCCAACGTCGAGGTCGCGACGACGCTCGCGCGCGCTGTCCGCGCCCAGATGCCCGGCAAGGGCCTCGTCTACAACCTGTCGCCCTCGTTCAATTGGATGGCGCACGGCTTCACCGACGCGACGCTCAAGAGTTTCATCTGGGACATTGCGCGCGAGGGCTTCGTCCTGCAGCTCATCTCCCTGGCGGGCCTGCACTCCAACGCCACCATCACCAACGAGCTCGCGCGCGACTTCAAGTCGGACGGCATGCTCGCCTACGTCAACCTCGTCCAGAGGCGCGAGAAGGAGGGCGGCTGCGACGTCCTGACGCACCAGAAGTGGAGCGGCGCCAGCTACATTGACGGCATTCTCGGCGCCATCCAGAGCGGCAGCTCGAGCAGCAAGAGCATGGGCGAGGGCAACACGGAGGGTCAGTTCAACTGAGGAGTAGCAGGTGCGAGATCCTTCCGGAGTTTAGGACGCGAGGAGGAGGGAGGGGGGGGGGGGGGGGGAGGACTACAAGTCGTCGGGGCATTGGGCGGCGTTTGGCCATTTAGAAGTTCCAATCTGTTTAGCATGTCAAATCCCATTGTGTACGTCATGTGCACCAAATGAAAATCCCAAAGGGGTTGTCACGTTAGTAAAAAAACGAGCAGTGTGCGGAGTGGATGCGAAAGCGACTGTTCAGTCTGCCTTGTCTGTTAGTTATGCTGTAGTAAATAATCAAAATAATACCAGAAAAGAGCCGACAAGGTATACCCTCTGAACGACGGAGACTCTATCCTGTATCGCGCACGCGTCGTCTCTTTGCCAACGCCAGCCAACCCTGATTCCCAACGCCGAAGCACGCTCATTTTCAAAACAATCATTGTGTGCTTCCCTTCGTTCTGATTTGCAAACTTGCGTTACAATTTGATTCCATTGCCATGCAACCATCCAATTCATCCATCAGCGAGATTTAGTAGCAGACCGCCCGACAAGGGGCATGCTCTACTGACCCGAGGCGAGGCTTGCGTAGTTGGCGGGTGCCGCCGAGGCGGGGCCCTCGGGGGTGACGTAGGCCTTGGTCATGCCGCCGTCGACGACCATGTCGTGGCCGTTGACAAAGCTGGCCTCGTCGCTGGCGAGGAAGAGAACGGCCTGGGCCTGCTCGACGGCCTCGCCGAAGCGGCCGGTGGGGAAGTGAATCTCGCGACGCTGGCGCTTGGCCTGGTCGTCGCCGAGCCAGTCCTGAAGCAGGGGCGTGTTGAGGGGGGCGGGGCAGAGCGAGTTGAAGCGGAAGCCCTCGCGGGCGTGGACGATGGCGAGCTCGCGCGTCAGGGCGAGGACGGCGCCCTTGGAGGCTGTGTAGGCCAGCTGCGGTGTTGCGGCGCCGACGAGAGCGACGACCGAGGCCGTGTTGATGATGGAGCCCTTGGTCTTCTTGTGGCGGCGCAGGGCGAGGACGGCGTGCTTGGAGCCGTACCAGACGCCCTTGACGTTGATGTTGTGAGTGAGGTCCCAGATCTCCTCGGGCGTCGAGATGGCATCGTCGTCGCGGGCGTGCATGATACCGGCATTGTTGAAGATGACGTCGAGACCGCCGGCAGGGTCGAGGGCCTCCACGAGGGCCTGAACCTGGTCCTCCTTGGATACATCGCACAGCTAGCAAGGCGTCAGTCAGAGGAGTTCGAGACGGTACTGGGCGCATGTACACATCGCGTGGTGGGGCAGTGGGGAGGGGGAGGGGAAGAGAGGGGGCAAAAGATCTGAGAGGAAGGAGCAGCGGAGGAGGGGTTCGAGGAGACCCAACAGACCTTTGTGTCGACCTTGGCCGAAGGAATCAGGGCGAGAACCTTGGCCTTAGCCTTGTCGAGGGCAGGCGCAGAAATATCGGCCATGAGAACATTGGCGCCCTCGCGAGCAAAGAGAATGCTGGTCTCAAGACCGATGCCACTGGAAATGGTGTCAGCGGGCGCAATTTGAAGGCAGCGATAAGGCGAGAAAGAGGTGCATCACTCACCCAGCAGCACCGGTGATGACGGCATTCTTGCCCTGGAGGCGACCGCTGCCGGTCAGAGAAATCTCGGCGGGAACAGAACCCATGGTTTCGATTGCGGTTGGGTTGGTTGGTGATGTTGTTGAAACTGGGTTCGTTGAGTAGAGGGGTGGCTCGAGGTGTGGTCGTGTCGGTGGGTGGTTGTCGTCGTGGCAGGGGTTTACTGATAAGGATTTCGTGGAGGGGTCTTGGGGAATGTTTGCGCTGCACCAAGGGTCCTACTTCAACGTTGGCAACTTTGGGTGGGAGGAGATGAAGAGAACAAGAGGAGCAAAAGAAGAGGACACGATGAAAGAAGAAGAGAAGGATAACCGATGGAGTAGGGCCGACCCTGAGGGACCTGAATCACAGCTCTGGTACCAGATGAGTCAAGGAAATCCGGGGGGAGGGGAGGGGGGCTCTAGGTCCTTCCTCGCCCTCTCTTCCTCTGTCACAGTCCTCGAGCTCGAATGGCGTGAAGGCGCGCCAGAGGTGCCACGAACCGACGAGCGCAAGAGCGTGGACCACGGACCAAGATCCGACAACGGCGCTATGGCACGCCACGCCTAGATGATGGAGACGTAGTAGATGCACTGGAACTTTCCAGGGATCTGGGGCGCTGGCGCATCAGCTGGTACAGCGCCAGGTACGGATGCGCCCGAGTGTCAGACCCGGCCATCTCACCGCCCGCGGCGTCACGCATCCATCTAGGAAGGAGAGGAGGAGGGGAGGGGGCTCCATCAGTGCGGGCACGGCTTATCAGCTGACCATCGTGATGTTTGGTTGGATGTGTGGACCGTGGGACGTGAGACGTGACAGATGCATCACGGAGCACCCATGCGGCGATATCGGTACCTACCCATCTTACCTTGAGCTACCTTACCTTGGTACCTACTTAAGCTCGGCATATAGTAGGCGTCCTATCTTATCGTCCAGTCGCCGTTGACCATTCTCGGCACGAAGAATATGCGCGTCGGCCCAATGCGGTGCTGTCAGGTCGCCCAAAGGATGGGTAGCGCGCTTCTGCGGTGACCACTGATCGATCATCCCGAGTTAGTACACCGTGACGCCATCTGGGGATGGTCTTGACTGCGTCCATCCTCAGAGAAATTCCTGGTCCTATCACGATAGTTTTCTTCCTTCACGACGTCGCCGGGGAGAGCGATGCACGCCCCCGCCCCGAAGTCAAAGATTGACAATGTACACGGTCGGCGTTAGGTGGAGTCGTTCGGGCCACGCGTGCGCCAGCAAAGGGCCTTCGTGATTTCCATTACCTCTTGTAAATCCACGATTCGTGGGTCTACACGACTCGTCGAGCGGACGTTCGGATTGTCGGGGTTTCGTGATGGCTGAAGCCATGGTGGGAGGGGCTGTTGGGGGGCGGCAATGACAAGGCTTGACAAAGTGAATTGTCGCTGGTGAGGGGCAGAGGGGTCAGTCTGTTATCACAGCTGACTCAGCCCATCGATTTTGGTCCAGGGATAAGGCCAGCGTCTTCTGACTGTACGACCAGTCGGCACGTAGTGATTCGGACCACTGAGGACAAACTGCATCACCCACTCGCCGCAAGATTGCCATGCCATGATCGATAACGATCAATCTGAGGCCGCATCCGTGAAGGGGGGGGGGATGACGGTTGCAAGTTGGATTTGAGCATGTCATTACCGTATAGAAATGCACTGGGATGCGCAGCTCATCTTGCCAACGGCACCGGCGGAGGCTATTGTTCTTCGCAGCAACCAGTTACCTTCCGGAGAGACCAAGCAACCAGAACATTCATACTGCTGTGCTCCAGGTGGTTTCGTTCAGGTAACTCTGTTCCGACAGACGCACATTGCTCAGCGCCGGCAGTGACGGCCCCATCCATTCTTGGTTTCAGATGAGAGATGGAAGAGTCGTATGGCCGTATCAATCAGCAGGCACTAGATAGTTGGATTCACGCAGAGCAGCCTGATGAGCTGCAGCAGCAACCTGACGCCAGTTCAAACACTGCTTTGTCAAGAGGCCAAGCGGAGCATCTCAGGACAGCATCACTTGTGATTACTGATGATCCTGTGACGGCAGGCCAATGGTCTTGCAGAGCACAAAGATCCATACCTGCAGAGCCCCCGTTCAGCCTGGCGTCTATTTCTTTCTGCAATGTGTAGTTCTGCGCGCCTTCTGGCAAACGCAATAAAACATCCTTGTCAGTGAGCACCTGAAAGGTTTCCGACCACATGAACGAACGCGACGGATTCAACGAGATCCGCTGGTCAGGCTTGCAGTCGAGCAACGCTGTCTCGTCAATGAAGAGTATCCGATGCTCTCGGAGACTGCTGAGCCTGTATAGACTCGAACGGCCTAACAAGGCCACTTTACGAGTCAAGGCCCAATACAATGCGCCTCGTCAATCCCTTATACACCCTGCCGACAGAACAACCTCTCGCCATCTGACCCGAGGTGCATCACGATAACGGGGCGACGGCCGAGACGCGGCTTGATCGCCCCATCTGGGGTAGCTCTTGGCGGCGTATCTCTTATCGTAGGCGATTTCGCCCTAGTCTCCCCCGCTCCAGCCCCTGTCAATCCAGCGTCCTCAGCGCTGTCCCCGGGGCGGGCCCAGGGGCTGGCTAGGCCAGCTGCAACCCCCCCTTCCCCTCCTTCAAGTCGTCCATGCCCTGAAGCACGACCAGGGAAGCTCCCAAGGTCTGGTGACGTCTGCAGTCCAAGTGTGGCTTCTCTCCAATTCTTGGTTTTGGTTCTGTCTCACTGACTCTCCTCCTCACCGCAACAACCACCACGCCCACCCAGACTCTCCACCTCTTCGTCTCCTCCTCGTCTGCTCAACCAGACTTTCGTGCTCTTGACAGTCCTCCGCCTCATCGCATCGCTCGTCCACAAAGCTCATCCGTTCGCCCCGCGCCGATTGCCGGACCCCTCACCACCATGGCCCCGAACCCAGAACCCATCACGGCCAAGGCCCTGCCTGAGCTGCTGAAGAACGATACCAAGGTGAAGCTCGCCGGCATCGACGTTGACGGCATGTTGCGCGGCAAGCTCGTCTCCAAGTCCAAGTTTCTGTCCATCGCCGAGTCGGGTTTCGGCTTCTGCTCCGTCATCTTTGGCTGGGACATGCACGACAGGACGTACGTGCGCGAGCTCAAGGTCAGCAATGCCGAGAACGGCTACCACGACCTCATAGCCGTGCCCGACCTGCAGAGCTTTCGGAGAATCCCCTGGGAGGATAACGTGCCCTTCTTCCTCGTCAGCTTCTACGACCCCGACACCAACGAACCCGTCTGCGCCTGTCCGCGGGGTCTGCTGAAGGTGACGCTGGACAAGCTCGAGGCGAAGGATATGGGCGCCATGGCCGGTGGTGAGTCCCCATGCCCTGGTCGTCTCTTTGGCCTGCCTCATGACATCTGAAGCACTTGCTCCTGCGTGAAAC